TGACAAGGCTGTATTTATTGCAACTTGCAACCCTACTATAATGTTAAAAAAAATACACTAATTGCATCAAAGTTTTAATATATTTATTTTAACACCGTCTTAAAAATAAAAAGCTAAAGCGTAGATAAAAAGATGCACAAAGAATTATCTCTTTAACTAACTTTTCCCACAAAAAAAAATTCATTTAATGGTGTTTCTACTCAGTGGAATGAAACGTGGCCAGTGAAACTACGCAGAAAACCAGTCATTCGTCCACCTGAAATGATCCTAGATATGCCACAATTTGACTCACATCTATGTTAAGTAGTAAATTTTTGTGGTTTTGAAAGAAATAACAGTCATTGTAGGTCATCATGTTACCGACTGGAGTAGCCAAAATTGTCTAGCTACAACGAAGTGCACATGTGGTATCCAGATACAGGTTGTTGTGGAGCGGCAACTAATACAAGAGAATACAACACTCTGTTTAATCTGCACCCGATGGCAGCAAATCTGTTGTTGGTTTATTTCCTAATACGATCGATATTTGGTGTATCTTCAAGAATAAAGTAAGAACGCATTTGTTATTCTAATTTTTCAAATCCTTTTTTATTTTACCAAAATTTCGATTGTTTGTAGCAAATACATGAAAACCATTGCTGTTTGCATTTCTGCGAAATATTTTGCCTAGAATGGCTAGATAACAAGATGTTAGTAGCGGGATGTAGTAAAGGCATTTTAAGTATTTATACATCCGAATTAAATATTTTAAAAAGAGTCTGCTGTTTTCCAAAATGCAGAATCATTAACATTGCTGTTTCCTGTGATAAAAGATTTTTGCTACAAGCAGTATGAATAAGACGGTCATTAATGGTGTGGAAAACCACACAATGACCGTCTTATTCATATTGCTTGTAGCAATAAATCTTTTATCACAGAAAACAGCAATGTTTTAATGGTGAACAGTCGTTCCATGTCTGAAATCTTTTTCAATGTCTGAAAAAGATTTCAGACATGGAACGACTGTTCACCATTACAAGCGAATCAATAGTTCGAGTAAGTTAACTTTCAAGATAGAAGCTTTTGTTTACATTGTGCCCTTTTTGTAGGCTATCTCATGGAACCCTGGGAATAGCTCATTGCTTGCTTGTGGCTGTACTGATGAAGCTTCAGCAGGTGTAACTATATGGAATATAAATATTCAAACCCAAGTTGCTCGTGAAAAAACCTCTTACAAAAAAAAATTCGTCTATAGGTGTTTTAACTTTTAATCCCATTAGCGGAGAACTTGTGGTAAGTTCATTTTCTTTATTAAGCAAAAATCAAATTCGTCTTTCAGGTCAGTTATTTGTTACGTGACAACCATGCAGGAACTGGAATTATCACTGTTCTTTCGAATATTGATACAGTTGTAGAGGAACTCCATATTCATGATGCACCCATATTGTATCTTCTCTGGGGTAGTGGGAGAAGACAGTTAGGTAGCAACAATATCATTAGATTAGGTATCAGGTATCAGTTACAAAAAATTCAATGCATATAAGAACCATCGATTTTTATGTCGACTGTTTGAAACTTCTGGAGACACAACATCAAATAATGTTTCCAGTTTGCAGAACCAGTTTTTACAATTTTTAATGTTATACTCGCATAATTATGTAATGCACAGATTTTTTAGTAAATCTTGTAAAAAAAAATGGTATTTATGTTTCAGCTTCTGTAAGTGCGGATAAGAATTTATGTATATGGAATTTTTTTGGTAATCCATAGAAATAAAGCAAACACAAGACAACTCCAGACCCTCAAATTTGCTTTATCCTTGCATTAGGTAGACATTTTAATCTGTTCCTTTTGGTGTTGAAGATTTTTATATTTTGTTATTTGTTTACATTTTTTAACATTTGTCGAAAAAACGCTTTCTCTTTATATATTTTACTGTTTAGATGTTTCTATAAAAAGATTATTATTACATTATACAAATAGACTACATACGTGCTGATATAAACATTATTTTAATTAGGTCTTGTTTTATTTTTTGCTTGTAATGTGTAAGGAATGAGTTTTTAATGGAAGATTCTTAAAATTAAAATTTTATACATAGTCACACACATGGAGGATATTTTATTAGAATGGACACCGAAATATTTTTCGCTTTGAACCAACTTTGTACTGGGTAAATTAAAATCACCAGCTACTCAAATCACAAAATTTGAAATTTTACTACAAATTTTGGAGACATGCAATGATGAATAATAATCATTAATTCAATAATAGGGGAATTAAGAATTAGGAAGAAAATAAACTGTATATAATACTGTTACGTTGTTCCATGATTTAAAAATCGTCCTTGGTAAAACTAAACAATTTATTTCTTAGTAACTCAAATTTACACGACTAATTACAGTCGTACCGAAGCGACTTATGGACTTAGTTCGTAACAATACGTATAAGGACTCCCACCATAACTATTCACGATTCTAAATGTTAACATTTAGCATGAAAGAACGAAACTTTGTCAAATCATATTATGTAAAGAGAAAATTCTGTAAAAACAATTCAAGAACTAAGAGCACCTTTCAACACTCGAAATAATTTTTTTACAAGAAAAACACTTCATATTTGAGATAAATAACAGAAGCTTTGTGTTGACCATTTTTAAAACAGACTAAATTTGATTCGTCGTTTTTTGAGTAATTATTTTTGCATGGATTTCTTGAATAATGCTATGCCAACTCTAGAAAAATGTGAATTTACTTTGCTATGTAGGTCAGGTCAAACCACATCTCAACTGCTAAAAATTTTCTGATCTTGTTTATGTAGTAAATCCCGTCACTTCCTCCATTATATTACTTCCCGAGTGTAAGCTAAGGAAGGATTGTAATCGAGTCCATCAGGCGACTCGCTACTTTTATATTTTCTCGACCTGTCATGATCCCTAGAATACGAAAACATAGATCTCTCATTTGCGTCAGTTTATCTGTCTGCCGTCTGCCATCAGGCGTCTGCCCTTCTAAATACCAGACCAATTGTTGTCAAATTTTATATTAGAAATGTCGTGTAGATGATAAAAGTCTGACCAAAATTTATCTCATCTCTACCACCATCTCCAAAATTAGTAAATGTTGTTTAAATTTTATAAAATAACATACTCCTCCACTTGTAGTTTATGAGCCCTATTGAGTTTTTACCCTTCCCAACTAGATTTGTGTAAAAAAAATCAAAACTCTGTAACATCTTACAACGTAACTTTAAAATTGCGAAGCGGAATGTTCTGAAACACTGCAATTGTTATAGAATGCTTATTACATAAATGATTTTGAGTCGCCTCTGCTAATAAGTACGCACGCGGAACTGTTTCGTTATTTTATTGATTATAAATCAATATTCCAGATGACCCAATTGCCCAATTCATTTTCCCGAAAATTTGGGAATACAGTACTTTTATTTTTAGTATTACACTACATCTATCCAAACTGATATACGTGTCCTTGCAAAAATGTTGATGACGTCATCGTAATAGTAGTGATTCACTAGCTGTACTTTTCCCATTCCAGTTTAGCACTGGTACCCACCTTCGCAGTCACTAAATAGCCAATTCTTAAAAAATTGAAACATGCCTGTAAAAATTTGCTTAAGTACCTACTATGTGAAAACATCGTCTATAAGTCTAGGATCTCTGTGGACTTTTTTAAAGTGGTTGTGTAGAGTATATTTTCTCTGTTCAAAACCCCTGGTTGATATACGTAAATGGTTTTTCACAGGTAGTCTTTCCAAACCTGCGGGTGAAGCATAGTTATGTTGCTATAGAAGAACTGCGGTCTAATTTTTATTTACGGAACATAGAAGCAAATACCATGAAGAAGGAAAATAATTCATAAATGTGATATTCGCGCAAAAACTCGAAAAAAAGAGGCAAAACAAATATAAAGAACAAATTAAGAAAAAATAGTAGGTTATAGCACAGATAAGTTTAGAGAATTTGTGTGTGGATAAATAATAAAGAAACAGTACACCTACTTATGAAGAAATAGTGGGTAGTAAATTTCCTTGCTTAATACTGTTTGCTGCGTAAACGAAAGATCTAAAAAGAAGGTAATCAATGCGTGAGTAGAAGAAAAAAGAGTTAGCAATGGATCGAACAGCACAAAAAGAATTATCAAGTGCCTGGAAACACATACGAACACAAAAATCCAAAGTAACGAGTTTCAAAGAGCCTACAGAGTTGCATATTGTACACTATTGTATACAGATAAAAAAAGAGAGGACAGAAAATTTTCACTAAAAGTATATACATCGGATGGTAGTGATAATGATAATAAATCGAGAAACTGTAAAACAGACATTAAGGAAGGAATTAAAATTGAAACAGATAGGGACTGATGCACCAAGCGAGGAATCGTGTTCGACGAATTTTTAATGGACGCAGCAAAAGACAGAAAGTGATATCTGAAAAACGGGAAAGATTTTATCGCAAAGATAAAATCACCAAACTAAAACAAGAATGAGAATGTTGAAGGAAGTAAGAGAGATAAATTAAGGACAAAAAATATTAAGCAATCTTGATCCAAAGAGAATGCGAAATTATTTACTTACCGGAATAACTACTAACGAAATGTGTGGGGAAGGAATGGAAGTGTATATCTTGCTACACAGGAATATGTGAAACTAGAAGAGAAAGGAAACAAAAGTGGAGCTGAATGAAGTGGAGAAAAGACGTGAAAAACACGAACATAAATTTTAATATTAGTAGGTATATGTAATTAATGTACTAATTAATACAACGTGTTTAAAAAGATTTTCATCTAGTCGCCTATGGCTGCAGATTTTCATCATGGAAAAGATAGGAGTTGAAACGATTTCAAAGCCAACTACATAAAAATCATTTTGGAACCCTTTACAATTGTAATCAGATTAGTTTAAGTAGCATAAACGTTTTAGTCAAAAAGATAACAATAAACTTTGAATTGTTAAATAAAAAACAACTAGGTACTCCCTCCAAAATCTGTTTATTACAACCGAGGTTCAATAAAATGTACATACACCCATATTTAATAGAGCAACATTATTATGCAACTACATTCTGCATTTAATTAAACTAACTGATTTTCTACTACGTACTTTACAACATGTCTTGCCCTATTTTTAAAAGCAGTTTTATTTTTAACATCATAACAAAATGCGTTAGAAAAATCTTTGCCACCATCAACAGCATTAGCTACATCAATAACTTCATCTTTTTCAGTGACGCACATTTTGTGTCCCAAACACCCAAATAAGATACCATGCTTGGAATATTTTTTCCATTCACATAGAAACTGTTCCTTAGTATACAATTTATCCAAACATGTACCGAGCCGACTCGAATGGAATTTCAGTTGCTCATAATAACGATTTAAAAGATCGTTAATACATTCTACATCTTCATTTGATATACTAGCAAAAATAAGGTGCGACACATCAAGAATTGGTGATGAAACTGTTGAAAATTGCCAGTCAAATATAGCAACAACCACTGGTGAAGTTTCGTCGCCATCCTACAATCAACAATAAGAATTGGTTATATACTTCGTTTTTAGCTTACATATTTAAACATGAAATTGTTGCACCAGCAGTCACCATGGAGAACCACTTTTAATCCCTCTTTCTTGTCTACCATTCCATCGAAAATGAAATACGTTTCATTATATAAACCTTTCCACGTTTCTAACGTACGTTCATCCAGATCGCCTTTAAGTAAATCATATAGTTCTATTATATTTGTACCAAAAAGTGCATTCATGTCGTTTGTTTTGGTAAACTCTTTTACCGTTTCGCCCAAACCCTCACTTAATTCTGCAAATTTTTCTGGATATTGCTCACTCATAGCGACTGAAACGGAATGCAATTTTGCATATTCTTCTAGTATTAACTCTATGTGTTTTTTCGTTAACGGTTTTTTCTTATCCCATAATTTGTAGCCGCTCCTTTTCAAATTTTTTAGAACAATTACTTCCATCTCCTCAGTAATAAACGTTCCGTAACACTCTGGAACACTGTTGAAAGGATCACGAATTCCCTTCTCTAGTTGAAACTGTGTAAATGTGGGGATTATTTTATCGTAAAAGAATATTTCCGTTATAAATGTTTGTCTCATGGGAGTCGTTGCCCGTAACTCTTTGCTTTTTTTACCACACTTCCAAACCAATTCGTACTTTTTGGATTGTTTACTTCTGGGTGGGGTTAAGGTAATAAATAATATGTCACTCATGTAGCCGTCACCTTTTTCGGGACTTTCTAACCCTTCAAGAGAATAGTCATCTATGTTTTCTGTTAGAATAGCTTTCAGCAGAGACTTTATTTCACTTGCCATTGTAAATAATCTTTTAAAAACTGTAAAATGTGAGGAAACTAGATATAGATAACCAAAATGTTTCAGTTTTTCTTATTTCGAAGTACCTGGACCTCGAGTTTGATCTAAACTGGATATTTACAAGAAACAGTTGAAATTTATACCGCTATTAACTAAAACGAATGGTATTGACTGTTTTGATAAGGAAATTAATGGTTAATTTTCTAAAATATAGTGTTTATTCACAATCGGTCAGCAATGTGAAACTTTCAAACTTTTTAAAAATATGTGTAAAAATCATTACAAAAAATTATGCATAGTGTAAATTTATTAATAGCAGTAGTAAATTTATTAGCACATTAACAAAAATGTTTAGTACAAATCATAAAATTTACAACTGATTTTTTAGATTAAAATGAGCAGGAAATATGGTAAAATTCCTGATTTTCATATTTGAAATCACAGGTTGAACTGGTAAAATAAAAAAAATCCATATGTTGAATCAAAAGTGCAGAAGATAGGTACCTACTCAAAACGCATAACAAATATGCATACTAAACAATCTTAAACACGTCAATTTAATAAGTCCTGCAACATGAAATATTTTAAACAGATGTATAAAATGTTTGATTTTGTAGTTAAAAAATTCATATGATAGATAAAATAATATAAAATAATAAATACTCCTAATATTAAAAAAATAGTAATTGTAGTGTTCAATTTCATTGTAGATATTCCACTTGCTTCCTTAGGTGTATTGTGGACTGCGTTTTGCGACTCTAGTATGGAGCCACAGTATACATATCAATCAGTAGAGACAGCTCGTGTCGCCGCCTTTGTTCTTTCTGACCCGAATTTTAAGCCGTCATGGGTGGTCGTTGCCTAAACTATTCCTAGATGTCGCCACCCAATTTAAAAAGTATCACTTCATTTACAATTTCAAAAATTGATTCGTGTACGCAATTTATTGCAAACTGTGTAGTTTGCTCAAATCGTATAATCGTGAATCGCAATAAGAAAAAAGAAAAGTGGATATTTAATTTATAAACACGATGATTTGTTACAGTTTTTATTTTATTACTTATACAATTTGATAATTCGCACATTCTTTCCCCGAATACTTGAGGTTTAATTACACTAGTTTACAAATTTAAACTTTTTTTCGTATCCAAAAATAAAAAAAATATTTTTTACTTCTAAATTACTTGCTGATAACAAATCCAAAAACGGATTATCCTTATCACGTCAGATTTTTTCATAAATCAAAAATAATGAACTTTGCTCTTACCTTCACGTTAGTGTCAAACTGATTCATGTTAATGCACCATTGTCGCATAAAAATGTCTTCGAGATCGTGCAAAGTAAGTGCAAATCAGTTTTGTTACGTTTATGGTAAAATTATAGTACCTAAAGCAAGACCTGTTCAAATATGCTTAAAAAGAAGGTATCAAGGATTTTGGGATGAAAATGTGTTACTGTTGGTCTATTATAAGGGAAACTGTCAGTACTGTCAATAAAAGAAACGCTACTGTATATCATTTTTAATTTTCAGTCATAATGTTTATAATATATACTGGGTGTTGCTTTTATTGGATACAACCCCTGTAACTTCTTTATTCTTAAAGATAAACCTGTATTTCTTTGAGCAAATTTGTATCATTTTAAAAGATCTTTGTGAGGCCAACCTCACATTTTTATTATCACTTCCCGTAGAAAAATCAAGAGCAACCAATTATTCTAAAATCAATACTTAAAAAATTTTAAATAAAACATTGACGACAATCTAGTAGCTTGAAAAATTGACACTCATGTTATTTATTTACGTAAATGATCTTTTAAAATTATACAAATTTGCTCAAAGAACTATATGTTCATATATATTTAAAAATAAAAACGTTTCAAGAGTTGTATAAAAGAAAAGAAATACGGGGTATGTTTATATAAATATCTCAAAAACCTGACGTGATAGATTTTTTCTGTTTTTAGATTTGAATTTCCCGAACCCAAATCCTTTAGATTCAACTATTTTTGTCTTTGGATATAAAACCTTGTAAACTAGTGTTATCATTGTAAAAATAATGTAATAAATACATCTAAAAAGAAAGAGGTTTATTTAAGAAAAAATAAATAAAATAAAAATTAAATTACAAAAAGGAAAAAAGTTAATGCTGCCAAATTATTTTCTTTCTATTAATTTTTTCACCTTTGGCATTTGTAAATTTAAAGCTAGCATTTACAAATTTTAGTGCATAAAATAATCTCATCCTAGCATACAAAGCAAGCAAATAATCGTATGGAAAGTTTTGGCATGGATGAACAAATGTAGCTGGCTTATATAAATTTAAAAATTTCAACAAAGTAGTTGTTTGTAAAATTATATTTTAAAAATTTTCACTAAAAATTTGCTCTAATTCACAAATGTAAAAAAAAGAAATTATCGTTTGGCATATATAATTTACCAAATAACTCGCAATTCTTCGTTTGGTAGGCTCTGAAATGTAAATATATGCTTGTGTTGTCTAAACTTTTATGTTCATTTGCATATTTTTCACATTCACTACAACTAAGTACTAATAAACATTTCCTAATTAGGTAGCCACAGATATATCTAATTGCGTTTTGTTCAGCTGTGTGAAAGTGATAATCACAATCTTTTAAGGTGGTCTTCTGCATCGTGGTGACTGATTCTTCTTCATCAAAACGACGACCTACATTCAACTTTAAAATTTTTTCCATATCATGCTCGCAGTTTTGATTACGTGTTCGTTTCATCAAAATAATCTTGTATGATTAATTTTCTAAAAGCCATTTGAAATTGATTAGATGTGGGGTTAATAGAATTTCCATTTTGTTTCCTAATCCATCCAAAACAGTTTTCTAGTGCGTCTTGGTAAAAGCGTCTTGTTAATATATAGTCAAACCCATTTTACCTAACAACTTAACCCGTAAGCGTAATATCATATAAAGTAAAATTTTTATTTAAAAAAAATTATTACAGAAAAAATGCATATTTGTCGGCTCACATAAAGTGCAGGTAATTGGTATGGGTCGACGCAGGTAAGAATAATTAAGAAATTCATGAAACCGGAAGTCCATAGGCATTAAGCGAAAAAGGATATTTGACAAAATGTACGCGCCCTATAACAGAGATGCCGTGTTGAAATTTAGATGTGGCTCCGCTTTTCTGATTACGATTTCACGTTTCATTAATTTCTTTTTCATGATGGTTGTAAATAGTTGTAAATTTCAACGCTATTGACCCTTTTCCTGTAAGATCGTAAAACTTCCATAGTGACTTTCCGTGCGCACGCATCTTCAAAACCACGTATCCGGCACTCCGGCAGCAGAGCAAAGGCCTGTGACAACAAACCGCTTTGACAGAATGCAACCAGCTACACATGCGTAATCTGTCGCTCATTGGTTAATTTTAACTTGGCGCTCCAAAAATCTGACTTCGTCTGCGCGATATTGTCTCACTCTGTATCATTGGAATTTATATAATGTCTACTCACTTTGCTTACAGGAAAAGGGTCAATTAGAAAACGCTAATATATCTACATTTAATTTTTTTACAAAAAAATTAAACAGTAAACAATGGTCCTATGAAAACGTGAACAACGCTTTTTAAAATGTCTCTGTGAAAATTACAATTAACTGCAATAATTACACCAGAAGATCAGCCTTAAATCATCAAAACCAATGCAACTAAACTGCCAAATTTCAAATATTTCACATTAAAGTCACTAGATAACCAAAGTACCGCAGTTCACTGTCCCAATGTGTAAGAAAGAGAAGTACCTTGCGTTGCGCGTCCTCATACGGTCACAAGACAAACGACCACCCATCACAGAATAATAACGCATTTTTTAATCCACTGCACCGTTATATGCGAACTCTCTCGATATGTTTCCTAGTAAGTGACTTCGATATATCCCACACAATAATGTATCCATGTTTCTTCAAATTTTCTAAAACAATAACCTCTGTGATGCTAGAGACAAACGTTGCATAACAATTTTGTGCACTGTCAAATACATCATCAATCCCTTTTTCCAACTGAAATAGTCCAGTCATTTTAGGATAAAAAAGGGATCAATCTCGGAATGAGAGATAATAAACTGAATTTTTGTATATACCTTAATTTTGCCGTTTTAAAAGTTGTGTCAAAAGTCTCATAAAATCTCGTGTCTGCGTCGTAAGTTATTCAAGGTCAAAAATGAAGAAAAACAGTTTTTTGCGATTATCTCGGTTTCTATTGCTCCAGTGATGTTAACATCTGTTATCATAATTGTAGAGCACAAAATTTGGGACAAATTTTATTTGAAACATTTTTTCATGTGCTCAATCGTTTTCGAGATAGAGGGCAGTGAGCGCGCAGCGCTCATCCATACGTACTGTAATCCAACAACCGTGAATATCTATGAATACTACCTTGAATTTTGAAAAATTTGTATTATTTATCAATTAATACATTGTATTTAAACATTTTACATATTTTCAACATATTCATTGAATAATACTTACCTACTTTGTGTAATTAAAAACGCATTTAATGAAATATTTATTGTATATCTCAATTTATTTATATCTTTAAAATGTGTGAGGTTTTAAATACTTATTTTTCTATCATGATTATAACTGGAAGGTCTGGAAACAACGATTCAGGGCACCGAGGATGATGACGATGAAACAGAAATTCCCGAACGTCCAGAAGATGACGGTGAAGAAGAAGAAAATTAATACTTTTGTTCTGTAAGTTATTAAAGATTTCTAGATTTTCACTGCAATTCAATTTCAATCGTAAGAAATGTACAGGTACTGAACAAAGATAAAATTAAAACACATTAACTCGTTTTACTTCCTTAAATTTTTACTTTGAAAGAATTAATATAACTTTTAGATATATAATAATATAACAAGTATAATATATTATCTAATATATAAAAACTTACACATTTGAAAGATAAAGTACTTAATTATTTTTCTAGTTAAAATCTACTTTCAATAAATTAAGATATACCTACATACAATAAGTATTTCATTTAAAGAGTTTTT